CCACAAAAAAAATTAAAAGTTCATTTTGAATTTCTTTAATTTAAATTTATAACAACCTCTTGCTCATTTTCTTAACTATCATTCTGTCCGCCTATTGGTTTGATTATCAGTTTTCCATTTAGCAAATAAATCAAACACTTATCACTCATCATCATCATCATCGTCAACATCTTTCATGTTCACTGTGATTATCACTTGCAAGTCATCTGTCATTTTAAGACACATAAACGCAAACAAACACACGCACTCTATATACTCTATATACAGAGAGTAAAACTTTCTTTATGGTTTTTAAACCAATTCTCAATATCATACTATAAGTATCATTGAGATATGTTTTGTGTATATATTACGATATAGTAGTGGCATACACAGTTGCCATCAAATCAGTTTATAGTTGTAGTCAAACGTAACCACTTTTTTCAGGTGGGGGTTTGTGTGGGAATTGCTTGGCGTTGGCATTATAATGTTGCCAGTAGATAACAGAAACATTGAGGCAGAACTAGTGCACGTACATTTTGTTAATTGCTTTTCAAACTTGTACTTGTAGACATCAATTACACAGATTATGATTATCATTATTTTCATCGTTTGTTTTCTAGCATTTCGATCAGAGATGAATAGGAATTAATTGATTTGATGGCTATAATCAGGGATGTATTAAAATATTATAAATTGTTTATTCGAAATAAGGTAAAATGAAAGCTGAATATAAAAGTTAAGAAATTTATTAATATTCAAATGTTTAGGTTGTTGAGGTACGTGGCCCTTACAGTGGACTCTCTTAGATCTTAGGAAACTAAAATCTAATCTAGTGATTGACACGAACATCAGTATTCAACAGCTCAGCAGAGTTATAAAAAATAGATTTCGTAAAGTTGCAGGACTAATACAAAGGAAGCTTCTTCATAACTCATTTAATCAACAATACTTAAGCGTCCGATCATCACTTCTCTCACGAGAGTCTCATCATATCGGTTAAACGACAACAGTCACAAATTTCGATCAAGCAGCACCTAGAAAACCACTAATAATTTGAGAGTATATGTAACACTAACCGGAAGTTGTTCGTACTCGATCGCAAGTGATCCATAGTGATCGCACAATCAAGTCATGTGACACTGTAGTTCATCTGTAATGGATTACAATTCACGTATGATTTTAATTTGTTAACAACATGAGTCTTGGATTTGAGAAAACCCTTGGGGTTTTTAGATATTGAAATCTTTATATTACTAAAGATTCTACTTTAGCTAAAGGTGAAAACCAGTTTATTCTGTTCATATGCACTATTTGATTTGTCAGAATATAATTCGACATCTCATTGAGAAACATTTGATATTAAAAATCCAGTCTTCCAGTCATATCGTTATCAAGATCTCTAATTTAATAAAAATTTAACCGATTTATCTTCATTGCATTTAACAGTGATTTAGAAAGGAGTATATCCGTTGAAAAACTCATAATCTTTGTGAGCCTACTCTCACGAAAATGATCATAAAGTGTTGTAAGATATATTGCTTCCACGATAGGTAAGAGAAGTCGCCATAAGTCGAAAGCTATTGAAAGTGCGGATGCTCAAGAGGTATCTAATAGATACTATTAAGCAGGAACGTCGTATTAAATTTCGGATTCTCAAACGACTCAAACTCGGTCAACTGTATGAAATACTTTTTATGTATAAGGCATGTATGTCAAGGAGTATCAACATTATTGAAAGCTTAGCTAAGAAATCGGTTGGTCCGTCCATTGGTATTCACAATAAATGATTTTTCTAGAATAAGAAAGCAATGTTGATAATTCATCTAATAGCTGATACATTGCCAGAACTAACGTATATATATCTGGGACCTCCTAACTTATGAAGACTCAAGTAAGTAAACAACGACAAAGTTAAAAGATCGTAGTGAATCGAAACTTCTACTATAAGATCTGTTGTCCTGATCTATTACGAAATCATTCAACGTAATCCTAAAGCTCACCGCGTCATGTTGAAAAAGAGACATATCTGCAGGGTTAAGATATTAACGAAACCTAAAATTCAACTGTATTTATTATCAGCATCAGTGGATTTACGTCTTCCGGTACCAAAGTCATGCCTAGTTGCCGACGTGTGACAAAGTTTCCAAAATTCACTTTATTATATAGAATCTGCATAAATTTCAAAGACCACAAAGATAATACGATCAAAATATCAATAAGCAAACAATATCATTTAAGCAAACAACGACAAAGTTAACAGATCGTAGTGAATCGAAAATTTCTTTAAGATCTGTTGTCTTGAACCACTATGAAATCATGCAACATAATCCTTAAACTTTCCGCACCGTCCTGAAAAAGAGACATATCCTCAGGGTTAATAGCTAGCGAAACCCAAAATTAAACTAAACTATCAGCAAGGGTGGATCTACGTTCTCTGGTACCAAAGTCATGCCTAGTTGCTGACGTGAGACAAAGTTTCACAAATTCACTTTATTATATAGAAACTGAATAAATTTCAAAGACCACAAAGATCATACGATCAAAATATCAAAATATAACCGGAAGTTGTTCATACTCGATCGCACGTGATCCATAGTGATCGCACAATGAAGTTATATGGCACTGTAGTTCATCTGCAAATGGATTACAATCTACATTCGATTTTAATTTGCTAACAATATGAGTTTTGGATTTGGAAAGACCTTGGGGTACTTAGATATTGAAATCTTTATATTCCCAAAGAAAGACCACTCTTGATATCCTATAGATCGAAGATTTTACTTTAGCTAAAGGTGAAAACCAGTTTATTCTGTTCATATGCACTATTTCATTTGTCAGAATATAATTCGACATCTCATTAAGAGACATTCGATATTAATAATCCAGTCTTCCAGTCATATCGTTATCAAGATCTCTAATTTAATACAAATTTAACCGATTTATCTTCATTACATATAACAGTGATTCAGAAAGGAGCATATCCGTTCAAAAACTCATAATCTTTGTGGGCCTACTCTCACGAAAATGATCATAAAGTGCTGTAAGATATATTGCTTCCACGATAGGTAAGAGAAGTCGCCATAAGTCGAAAGCTATTGAAAGTGCGGATGCTCAAGAGGTATCTAATAGATACTATTATGCAGGAACGTCGTATTAGATTTCGGATTCTCAAACGACTCAAACTTGGTCATAGTGATCGCACAATCAAGTCATGTGACACTGTAGTTCATCTGTAATGGATTACAATTCACGTATGATTTTAATTTGTTAACAACATGAGTCTTGGATTTGAGAAAACCCTTGGGGACTTTAGATATTGAAATCTTTATATTCCCAAAGACGGACCACTCTTGATGTCCTATAGACCGAAGATTCTACTTTAGCTAAAGGTGAAAACCAGTTTAATCCATTCATATACACTATTTGATTTGTCAGAATATAATTCGACATCTCATCAAGAGACATTTGATATTAAAAATCCAGTCTTCCAGTCATATCGTTATCGAGATCTCAAATTTAATAAAAAATTAACCGATTTATCTTCATTGCATTTAACGAAAATGATCATGAAGTGTTGTAAGATATCTTGATTCCTCGATAGGTAAGATGTATCTAATAGATACTATTATGCAGGAACGTCGTATTCGATTTCGGATTCACAAACGACTAAAACTCGGTCAACTGTATGAAATACTTTTTGCACGTAATACCTGCTAATAGTTCATGTACGTCAAGGAGTATCAAAATTATTGAAAGCTTAGCTAAGAAACCGGTTGGTCCATCCGTTGGTATACACAATAAATTATTTTTCTAGAATAAGAAAGCAATGTTGATAATTCATCTAATAGCTGATACATTGCCAGACTTAACGTATATATATATCTGGGGCCTCCTAAATTATGAAGACTCAAGTAAGCAAACAACGACAAAGTTAAAAGATCGTAGTGAATCGAAACTTCTACTATGAGATCTGTTGTCCTGATCTATTACGAAATCATTCAACGTAATCCTAAAGCTCACCGCGTCATGTTGAAAAAGAGACATATCTTCAGGGTTAAGATATAATTCAACTGTGTTTATTATCAGTATCAGTGGATTTACGTCTTCCGGTACCAAAGTCATGCCTAGTTGCCGACGTGTGACAAAGTTTCCAAAATTCACTTTATTATATAGAATCTGCATAAATTTCAAAGACCACAAAGATAATACGATCAAAATATCAATAAGCAAACAATATCATTTAAGCAAACAACGACAAAGTTAACAGATCGTAGTGAATCGAAAATTTCTTTAAGATCTGTTGTCTTGATCCACTACGAAATCATGCAACATAATCCTTAAACTTTCCGCACCGTTCTGAAAAAGAGACATATCCTCAGGGTTAATAGCTAGCGAAACCCAAAATTAAACTAAACTATCAGCAAGGGTGGATCTACGTTCTCTGGTACCAAAGTCATGCCTAGTTGCTGACGTGAGACAAAGTTTCACAAATTCACTTTATTATATAGAAACTGAATAAATTTCAAAGACCACAAAGATCATACGATCAAAATATCAATAAGCAAACAACGACAAAGTTTACAGATCGTAGTGAATCGAAAATTTCTTTAAGATCTGTTGTCTTGATCCATTACGAAATCATGCAACATAATCCTAAAACTCTCCGCATCGTCCTGAAAAAAGACATATCCTCAGGGTTAGTAGTTAGCGAAACCCAAAATTCAAATATACTATCAGCAAGGGTGGATCTACGTCTTCTGGTACCAAAGTCATGTCTAGTTGCTGACGGGAGACAAAGTTTCCGAAATTCACTTTTTTATAAAGAAAATGAATAAATTTCAAAGACCACATAGATCATACAATCAAAATACCATCGTTTTTACTTGACAACGTGGCTTACGTGAGTCGTACTATGACTTCTGTAAATATTATTAGAGTGAGTAATAAATGAAAAGAGTTTTTTTGTCTAGTCGACCATTGTCTGTCTTTCTTTATTGGATCAAAGATTGATGTCAACATTTGGGGTACAATTTTTATTCAATTTTATCTAATCTAAAGAATCAAATTTAATGCATTCGACAAAGTTTAATTTTTAGGCAAAACATTTTCTAATTACCGGGTGGAAAGTAATTACAAACCAAAAAGAATTTTTTACCTCTAAAATAATTATGAAAATAATTATCATTAAAATAAAACTAAATCAATGGACTTACTTCTTCGAAAAACCTATGTCCAATTCTTTAGTATCCTTCCAAACGACTTGAGTGAAATGAACAGTGCCGAGAGTAAATTCTGATAACTCAAAATCATACAAATCGATTTCATCATACCAAGCTTTAACTGGCATATCTCCAGTAACTTTAGAACAACCATTACAAACATAAAGATTTTCACCATATTTGTTGCCAGGACTATGTTGCATGTCGCCTTTGGCTGCCAGTTTCTAAAAAGCGAAGAGAGAAAAATGCAATAAGTTTAATTCCTATTGCCATCAATTTTCTATTACCTTAGCCCAAACGGAAGCTGTTTTAGTTAATTTTTTACTTATAGTCAAAGGTCCAACATTATGTTGCAAACGATATTGATTGTGTGCCCTTAAACATTGGCATTCTAGGGCACCCCTCTTGTTGGCAATACACTCTTCAGCCGTGGTGTTAAACTAGAAATTTAACAGGCTTGATATTATATAAATTTTAATTAAAGTTTTCTCACAACTTCTTAACTTATTTGACTTTTGTTCTCTCTTAACTTTTTGACAAATTTTGAAATATGAAAAAATACATAAATACAGTTGCCCATAAACAGAAAATAAATCTTCCTACAATCTTGCTATTCAATAAACACAATGATTTTCATTAAATTGCCCCAAAAAAGTTATATAACTATCGAAGCTTGTCGAACTATTTTCCTTAGAAAAAAAAAATAACATTACTACAATTTGAATGGCAGTTATTGTATAAGAGGATTTTTTATTATCATTTTGTAAACCAAAAGTTTTTCTTTCTATTGTGTGTGTATGTGTATGACTATTGTGCATTTCTAAAGAACATCTTTTATTAACAACCATCGTAATATTGTGTTGTGCAACAGGATTTTATAGTGATGCATTTGCAAACAGACTAAGACAAACACAGATATAGACATATGTTGGTTGCAACTATTGCACACAGATATACATACTTACAAATACAAAGAAAGCAAAGATAAGTTTATGTATTTGTGAGATTTCAACTTTTGTTTACTATGTTCTTAATAAAATATATATGAACTTTTGTATGTAAGTGTACATAACTACTAAAGCAAGGAGAAGGATACCTATTGGTAAACAATTAAGTTTTGGAAATAAAATTGCCCAGCAAATAATTATTTTTATGAATATTTCAATTATGCAAAGCATCTTACAGCGTATTAATACTATTTTATAACCTGCTACTTCTACAGGACGTATGATTGATATTTTTACGCCAATTAATACACAATATGTTACACTTAGTTAAAGAAATGGAAAATCAAGTTCAGTTCTAGTTCAGTTCTAGTTCAGTTCTAGTTCAGTTCTAGTTCAGTTCTAGTTCAGTTCTAGTTCAGTTCTAGTTCAGTTCTAGTTCAGTTCTAGTTCAGTTCTAGTTCTAGTTCAGTTCTAGTTCAGTTCTAGTTCAGTTCTAGTTCAGTTCTAGTTCAGTTCTAGTTCAGTTCTAGTTCAGTTCTAGTTCAGTTCTAGTTCAGTTCTAGTTCAGTTCTAGTTCAGTTCTAGTTCAGTTCTAGTTCAGTTCTAGTTCAGTTCTAGTTCAGTTCTAGTTCAGTTTCTAGTTCAGTTCTAGTTCAGTTCTAGTTCAGTTCTAGTTCAGTTCTAGTTCAGTTCTAGTTCAGTTCTAGTTCAGTTCTAGTTCAGTTCTAGTTCAGTTCTAGTTCAGTTCTAGTTCAGTTCTAGTTCAGTTCTAGTTCAGTTCTAGTTCAGTTCTAGTTCAGTTCTAGTTCAGTTCTAGTTCAGTTCTAGTTCAGTGTCTAGTTCAGTTCTAGTTCAGTTCTAGTTCAGTTCTAGTTCAGTTCTAGTTCAGTTCTAGTTCAGTTCTAGTTCAGTTCTAGTTCAGTTCTAGTTCAGTTCTAGTTCAGTTCTAGTTCAGTTCTAGTTCAGTTCTAGTTCAGTTCTAGTTCAGTTCTAGTTCAGTTCTAGTTCAGTTCTAGTTCAGTTCTAGTTCAGTTCTAGTTCAGTTCTAGTTCAGTTCTAGTTCAGTTCTAGTTCAGTTCTAGTTCAGTTCTAGTTCAGTTCTAGTTCAGTTCTAGTTCAGTTCTAGTTCAGTTCTAAGTTCAGTTCTAGTTCAGTTCTAGTTCAGTTCTAGTTCAGTTCTAGTTCAGTTCTAGTTCAGTTCTAGTTCAGTTCTAGTTCAGTTCTAGTTCAGTTCTAGTTCAGTTCTAGTTCAGTTCTAGTTCAGTTCTAGTTCAGTTCTAGTTCAGTTCTAGTTCAGTTCTAGTTCAGTTCTAGTTCAGTTCTAGTTCAGTTCTAGTTCAGTTCTAGTTCAGTTCTAGTTCAGTTCTAGTTCAGTTCTAGTTCAGTTCTAGTTCAGTTCTAGTTCAGTTCTAGTTCAGTTCTAGTTCAGTTCTAGTTCAGTTCTAGTTCAGTTCTAGTTCAGTTCTAGTTCAGTTCTAGTTCAGTCCTAGTTCAGTTCTAGTTCAGTTCTAGTTCAGTTCTAGTTCAGTTCTAGTCCAGTTCTAGTTCAGTTCTAGTTCAGTTCTAGTTCAGTTCTAGTTCAGTTCTAGTTCAGTTCTAGTTCAGTTCTAGTTCAGTTCTAGTTCAGTTCTAGTTCAGTTCTAGTTCAGTTCTAGTTCAGTTCTAGTTCAGTTCTAGTTTAGTTCTAGTTCAGTTCTAGTTCAGTTCTAGTTCAGTTCTAGTTCAGTTCTAGTTCAGTTCTAGTTCAGTTCTAGTTCAGTTCTAGTTCAGTTCTAGTTCAGTTCTAGTTCAGTTCTAGTTCAGTTCTAGTTCAGTTCTAGTTCAGTTCTAGTTCAGTTCTAGTTCAGTTCTAGTTCAGTTCTAGTTCAGTTCTAGTTCAGTTCTAGTTCAGTTCTAGTTCAGTTCTAGTTCAGTTCTAGTTCAGTTCTAGTTCAGTTCTAGTTCAGTTCTAGTTCAGTTCTAGTTCAGTTCTAGTTCAGTTCTAGTTCAGTTCTAGTTCAGTTCTAGTTCAGTTCTAGTTCAGTTCTAGTTCAGTTCTAGTTCAGTTCTAGTTCAGTTCTAGTTCAGTTCTAGTTCAGTTCTAGTTCAGTTCTAGTTCAGTTCTAGTTCAGTTCTAGTTCAGTTCTAGTTCAGTTCTAGTTCAGTTCTAGTTCAGTTCTAGTTCAGTTCTAGTTCAGTTCTAGTTCAGTTCTAGTTCAGTTCTAGTTCAGTTCTAGTTCAGTTCTAGTTCAGTTCTAGTTCAGTTCTAGTTCAGTTCTAGTTCAGTTCTAGTTCAGTTCTAGTTCAGTTCTAGTTCAGTTCTAGTTCAGTTCTAGTTCAGTTCTAGTTCAGTTCTAGTTCAGTTCTAGTTCAGTTCTAGTTCAGTTCTAGTTCAGTTCTAGTTCAGTTCTAGTTCAGTTCTAGTTCAGTTCTAGTTCAGTTCTAGTTCAGTTCTAGTTCAGTTCAGTTCTAGTCAGTTCTAGTTCAGTTCTAGTTCAGTTCTAGTCAGTTCTAGTTCAGTTCTAGTTCGGTGCTCTCCTATTATACAGTGTATATACATTAGACCGACTCACTCTGTATGGCAAGCAAAAACGTATTTTTGTTACCCCTCTCAAATTTACCTTGCTTTGTTTTATGATGATTCCCAAAATATTTTAAGTCTAGCGACTTAATAATAAAATCGCCTTATCATTCACACAAACACATTCGTATATACATATATTTACAACAAAAGATAAATGGATAGTAATAAACAACACATAGAGCAAATAACAAAGGAAAACATCAACAACAACTAAAACTACTAAAGGCAACTCTCTACTACTAACCAACCATTCAACAACATAAACCAAACAAAGAAAAACTGAATGAAATGAATGCATGAACCAACATGCTTTATTGTAATTGCCAGAGTTATAAAATGCAAAACATATGGTCCTCACTGTACTTATTCGGCAGTTACAGTTATAAAGAGTAATAAAACTTAGAGTGAACAAAAAAACAGCAACAACAACAATAAAAAAATCTCATATTTCATGCACATTTAGCATCAAAGTAACACAATAAAATGTATGAATGAGGATTTTCGTAATAAAAAAAAATCTTTCTTTTCTTGGCAAAAGCTAGGAATAAAAATCTCTTATAATAGAAAACAAAGATCAAAATCTAGACATTTTTAGATTTCAATGAGATTTTTACTTGAGTAAATTTGTAATAATATTATGCTTAAAAGTTAATATGTACTCTGAAATGAGAAACAAGAGAAGTTGTAAATTTAAATACATATTTCTAAAGAATTTAAAATAAATAAACAGAATTTTATAAATTAATAAATGTTGTGAGTAGAGAACTGACTTTTAATAGCAAAACTACTTTTGTTATTAGAAGGCCTCAATGAATAACAATAACAGTGTTATTCATGATTTAATATTAAAGTGTTTCGAAAAAGTACACAACATTTAATGGTTAGGTAAAAAAAAAATATAAGAGAAAATTTTAATTTTCATAAAATTATTATTTACTCTAAAAATACTATACATATGGGCAATTCCATACGATTGTATGTGATATTCGTACGCCTTCAGAGTGGTATAGATTTTTTAAAATTAGGAGTTATGAAAATCGGCATAAAAGTTTAGGCTTATAAACATTTTAGATCTGCCGATAGATCTGGGATAGTATTATAATTAACAGAATTATGAGCTAAAAAGTGATATTTTCGGGTGCGTTTGTATGGCGGCAAGGTGTAAAAATACACCGATTTCAAAAATTTTCAACAGTCTTCGTCCTTGGTGCTTCAAAAGATCATATACCAAATTTTGTTGAATTGTCTTCAAAAATGCAGAAGTTATAAGGGTTTTTATTTTTTCAGTCGTGGTTTACCTATTCATGGAATTGCCCATACGCATATAAATAAAGGGGAATCGAAATTTTCCTTCAATTCATAAAATATAATTGAAAACAAAATCAAAACTTATCTGAAAGTAATTGTATTCAGACCTTCGCTATCCTACATAGGATCATCTTTTATTCACAAATATGCATACATACATATGTATATTAGACCGACTCACAAAAAAAGGTGCTTAAAAACAAAAATAAAATTTAAAAAAAAAATAATTCAAACTACCTTTTTTAATTTGGTCCAGCTCACGAACGCCATCGCTAGACTTAAATATTTTGGGGAATCATCATAAAACAAAGCAAGGTAAATTTTGAGAGGGGTAACAAAAATACGTTTTTGCTTGCCATACAGAGTGAGTCGGTCTAATGTATATACACTGTATAATAGGAGAGCACCGAACTAGACTGAACTAGAACTGAACTAGAAACTGAACTAGAACTGAACTAGAACTGAACTAAGGAACTGAACTAGAACTGAACTAGAACTGAACTAGAACTGAACTAGAACTGAACTAGAACTGAACTAGAACTGAACTAGAACTGAACTAGAACTGAACTAGAACTGAACTAGAACTGAACTAGAACTGAACTAGACTGAACTAGAACTGAACTAGAACTGAACTAGAACTGAACTAGAACTGAAATAGAACTTGAACTAGAACTGAACTAGAAAATGAACACTAGAACTGAACTAGAACTGA